ACGTCAAACCTGTTTTTGCCATAAGCTTCACCCCCTCGCTTCTCATACGGAAAGTATCAGGTTTAAAACGGCGGACAATAATTTACTTCATTTTCTATATGTTACCTTAGGACAGCTTCATCATAACTAATAAAAAGCTGCATTCTGACGTCAAATTTTCCCAGTTATAACTAATAGTTAAGGACTAATAAAATGTGAATGATGAGCTGCCAGGAAATTTTAACTGAACGTGGAAAGCATCCCGTTGAGTAATAAACGAAATTCAAATAATGTTTTCATTAAGTAAGTAAATTGCGAATTTAATAAAAACCATTCAGAAAATAACGATTAACGATAATCCTAAAATATTCGATAATTATTGAAGTTCGTTAAATTTCATTTTAATTTGCAAGATGAGGTTAATTTAAATTTATTTGTTCCTGATGAGTGTTTTAGCAAAATCGAGATTTTATTCGATCAGCATTTTAAATATAGAACATTATGATTTTTACTTTTCGGACAAAACGTACGTGAAACCTGGATAATTGTAGGTGCGTGAAGCGTTGCACATTAGACTGGTTATAATGCCAAAAGCCTTATTTAAAATTTTATATGATGAGATTACATGATTGAGAATATTTATTCAGTTAACAATGCCAAGATCGCTGTTTCCGGTTGATTTTTTCAATTGATGAAAAAGACCTATAACAAAAACTCTTCTGCCCTAATACTGATCCAAAATAGGATTTTCAAATCAATTCTACTCAAGAATTATTAGAAATCAGAACTTATTGCTTGTATAGTATTTTTCTTTTATATAGAGCCAAGAATGGAAATTTCACTCTTCGAATCAGCTTGATGAGAATCAAATATAGGACTCTTAGCTCAATTTCACTTAAAAACAGTCAAAAACTAGTGGTTACTACGCCTGAGAAGAGCCAGGAATAGTAATTCACACCCTTTTCTAGTTGAAATTGCTTGAAGAAGTAAAAATTAGTCTCATAAACTGCCTCGACGCAGATTTAACTCTATAGAATAGTCAGAACTCGAGTCAGAAAGAGCCTGGAATAGGATTTTCCAAAGGGCAAACCACCTAGGAATTAGGGGAATTTGTAGGAATTTATGGGGAATTTGGGAGAATTTATGAGGAATTTGAAGAAGATTGTCAAATTTAAAAAATTCAAAAGAATAATGAATACAGTTTTTGTAGGTTGATTTCCAAAATTTTTCATGTTACTGTTTTTCACTGGAAAAATTTGGAATTTTGAGAAAAGCTCAGCTTTGTCTTTGCATGCAAAAAGTTTCAAAATTTTCCCTTCTGCACTAGTTTTCTAAGAAAACTTTGAAATATGTGAGACTGTATTTTCAATTAATTCAGTTATTGTAGGTTGATTTCCAAGATTCCTCATGTTGTAATTTTTTACTGGAAAAATTTTAAATTATGGGAAGATGAGCTTCTCACCTTTCTCTTTACATGCAAAAAGTTTCAAAATTTTCCCTTTACTAGTTTTCTAGGAAAGCTTTAAAATATGTGAGACCGTATTTTCAATTAATTCAGTTATTGTAGGAGGTTGATTTCCAAGTTTCCTCATGTTGTTATTTTCCACTGAAAAAATTTGAAATGTTGGGAAAATGAGCTTCTCAGCTTCCTCTTTACATGCAAAAAGTTTCAAAATTTTCCCTTCACTAGTTTTCCAGGAAAACTTTGAAATGTGTGGGACTGTATTTTCAACTAATTCAGTTATTGTGTGGTTGTTATTCTTCACTGGAAAAAATTGAAATTTTGGGAATATGAGCTTCACACTTTCCTCTTCACATGCAAAAAGTTTCTCTTCTCTAGTTTTCCAGGAAAACTTTAAAATATGTAATACTAAATTTTCAATTAATTCAGTTATTGTACGTTAATTTCCAATATTCCTCATGTTGTTATTTTCCATTGGAAAAATCTGAAATTTTGGGAAAATGAGTTTCTCACCTTCTTCTTTACATACAAAAAGTTTCAAAATTTTCCCTTTACTAGTTTTCTAGGAAAACTTTGAAATGTGTGAGACTGTATTTTCAACTAAATAAGTAATTCAGTTTTTGTAGGTTGATTTCCAAGACTTTTAATTTTGCTGTTTTTCACTGGAAAAATTTGAAACTTTGGGAAAATGAGCATATCACCTTCCTCTTTACACGCAAAAAGTTTCAAAATTTTCCCTTCACTAGTTTTTCAGGAAAACTTTGAAATGTGGGAGACTGTATATTCAACTAATTCAGTTTGTGTAGGTTGATTTCTAAGATTTTTCATGTTGCTGTTTTCCACTGGAAAAATTTGAAATTTTGGGATAATGAGCTTCTCAGCTTCTTCTTTATATGCAAAAAGTTTCAAAATGTTCCCTTCTTTAGTTTTCCAGGAAAACTTTAAAATATGTGAGACTGTATTTTCAACTAATTCAGTTTTTGTAGGTTGACTTCCAAAATTTTTCATGTTGCTGTTTTCTACTAGAAAAATTTGGAATTTTGGGAAAATGAGCATCTGACCTTCCTCTCTACATGCAAAAAGTTTCAAAATTTTCCCTTTACTCGTTTTCCAGGAAAACTCTGAAATATGTGAGACTGTATTTTCAATTAATTCAGTTATTGTGAGTTGATTTCCAATATTCCTCATGTTGTTCTTTTTCACTAGAAAAATTTGAAATTTTGAAAAAATGAGCTTCTCACCTTCCTCTCTACATGCAAAAAGTTTTGAAATGTTCCCTTCACTAGTTTTCCAGGAAAACTTTGAAATGTGTGAGACTGTATTTTCAATTAATTCAGTTATTGTAGGATGATTTCCAAGATTTTCCATGTTGCTGTTTTTCACTGGAAAATTTTGAAATTTTGGGAAAATGAGCTTCTTACCTTCCTCTTTACATGCAAAAACTTTCAAAATTTTTCCTTCGCTAGTTTTCCAGGAAAACTTTGAAATGTGTGAGTCTGTATTTTCAACTTATTCAGTTTTTGTAGGTTGATTTCCAAGATTTTTCATGTTGCTGTTTTCCACTTGAAAACTTTTAAATTTTAGGAAAATGATCTTCTTACCTTCTTCCTCTTTACATGCAGAACGTTTCCTTTTTTCAGAATAATTTGTGGGGTATTTGGAGAAATTTGTGATGGGGTATCTGGAGGAATTTGGAGGAATTTGCAGGAATTTGGAGGAATTATACGAAAAAAATTCCCCTTTGAGGAATTGTTTGCATCAATTTTGGGATGGTGGTTTACCCCTTGGGATTTTCACACTTTGCTTATTCGGACCAAGTGGATTTAGCGCACAGGCAAATAAATTCCGTAGTTCTTAAAACATTAAGAAACAGTTTATTCCGTTTTATTTGGCTCCAACACACGAGAAACCTCCGGCAGAAATGATAATTATGGCGATATAAGTAAGCAAAGAGCTGAAAAAGAACTATAAAGGTTTTCTTATTCTAGTCTAAGTTATAAAAGCGCAAATCAATTCTGGAATAAGACGGAGTCCTAAAAGACGTTAACTATAAAGCCGCAATGTCTGAGATTTGTGATCTCGATTTACAGTTAGCGAAATGGCACGTGAAATTGAAGTGTTATCGTTATTGATGGTCGGCTGCTGTGTAAGTACTTTTGGCATAGGAATTTTGGGTTTATATAGATACTTTAAAGAAAAAGATGAGAGATACTTTCTCAGAGGGGCATGTTAATGGTGAAAAATAAATCAACTTTTATATTAAATGAAGCACTGGCTGAGTATCAACTGGATTTTTGTTATTATCAATAGACGTTTTTGTTTATAATCACTGGTAAAATTTGGGTTAGTTTTCTGGGTTTTAGAATTGGGCAACATCAGCTTTTTTATAAGAAATCTGAATAATGTTACCTAAAGAATGGAGAATCCATGACCTCGAAAAATAAGGAAATTATCTAAAATTCGCCAAAATTGGGTGATTTTATTAAAATAATTAATTTCATTGAAAAAGTAATTATTTCAAATCAGTCTCATTTTATTTCATCTGTCCTCACTGTTTTTCTAGAAATCTGCATGGAAAGGCACTTATAATCGTCAAGGGTTTCCGGAAAACTTTCTCAATTTTTCCTTCTTTTTACTATAGCATTATTTGTTTTTTGAATAGATTGGCAAAATATTTTTAGCAGTCAACGATACCTTTTCTAAAAAAAAAAGTTAAAAATCTTTGTACAAATCCATAGAAACTAGCATAGTGGATAATCATGATAGTTTGAACTAACCGAAGTTTTCGTGTGTGACAAAGTTTCGGTCTGTTCGTCCCGAAAGCCCTAACAAGATCATTAGGGACAGTTTATGAGAACCGATTCTCCAAATGGTCCAAATAAAGTGACACTGACGACACTAACAAGAAATACGAGATGCGAGACTTTCATTACAGAAAAGGCAAAAAGTAAATGTATGGTGTAGACGAAAACTTACCCTTATCTTTGGTTTATTTTATAAAATTCAACCAATTGTTTTTTTTTTTTTTTTGGAACAGTAAACAGTAGGTAATCCATCTTGATTTCTTCATAAAATCGCTTTGCGGCTAAAAAAAGGCAAACAAACCGTGCTTTATAGAGCTTTTGGGAATTCAAGTTCGAAAGTAAAAAAAAAGTTACCTATCCCCTATCCCAATCCCACCTGTATTGAAAAGTAAAATTTATTGCTGTGGATATAAATTTTACACTTTGGAACATGCTCAAAGAATGTTAACATCAGGTACAAAAAGGTGACAATTCATCAATTTATTTCTCTAGTCTTATATTTAATAGACTAATGTTGGCAGCTACGTTAAAAGCATTATTTTTTTTGGCACACACTCGCCGATTTTAACCAAAAATAAACAAGTTATTACTTTCCTTGGAATATGCAATAGTTCAGCTATTAAATTAAAAATATTATGAAAACAAACTCTTGTCTCCGATTTCAGGTTTATTTCTGAATTGTTCTAGAGAATAGTTATTTAAGTAACATCCGTGTCTGTTGTTTTACCTAATTCCTTTTTCTTTTTTTGTTCTAGAAAAACCTGTAAAAATTGCAGATGTTCGAAAGACGGGCACGAAGTCCAAGCGGAACACGGAGCCCGATCTCGTCTCGGTTTGGCCGGACACGAGGATGGGCTCAATGCCAGATCTCTTGGATATACCTTTGTGCCTCCTGGTCTGACTACTGCCAAGCAGGTAAACATTTATGTCATTTTGTATTTGATATTTTGTAGAAGTGGGAATCATACGAAGTGTTTTTCGTACAACACTCGCACAAGTAAATTGACCTTGATCATTAGTTGCTCTAGATATATCATCCACGATTTTTGTCAGAGCACTTGAGGTGTCATGTCTCTTACGAAAGCCTGACTGAAGCAAAGATATTATTTTGTTTGACTCAAAATATTCAGTGAGCCACAATTTTTTCCAGAATTTTCATGATGATTGAAATAAATACATCTTCATATTGTGTCGCCACTGGAACCTTCAAAATGAAAATCACTAGAGCCTGTTTTCAAGAAGGAGGAATGTCTCCCACCTCTAATTAAAAAGTTAAACATATGACAAAGAGCATCCTTGCAGTGTGTTAAAACAATCCTTTAGCAGCAGCATCTTCAGGGCGACTCCATCCACCTTGATCTTCTATCATGTCTGTGATGGTTACAAGAGTGAAATTAAGTTCAGTCCAGGCCTTAAACTAATTTCCTGAAAGTGACTGCAGATATTGATTTTGATATTAATATATTTAACCCCATTAACAAGAAAATAATTTATACTGTTGGAGTTTTGTATTTCTGGGTCAGTTCACGAACAGACTTCCTAAGAATATTGCAAATATCCAGTTCTCTCCACATTATCCGAGGACACAATTTAGTGTCAATCAAACGAGTTTGAATATATGCCCTTTTCTCATATTGTATGTACAGCATTAGACAGAAAGTTACGCAAGTCTTTGTAATAATCAAGCTGTATCCGGTTTTTAGTTCGCAAATATTCTTTGTAGGCATTTCTTTTGAGTTCGCTCATTTCCTTATTAGTAGAACTTATACATAAAGACATGCTGGATTTCCACAAGCAATGGAGCATGCATTGTTCTTTTTCTGATAATCAGGAATGACTTAGATAAAGTCTCAGTTTACGGTGGAGGCATCCTGTCCAAAAAGAATAATATCGGAATATCGAGAATTCCTGAATGTTACTCTTCGCGATTTTATGGATTTTATTACATATTCATATTACATAGTCCAACTCACAGAAGGTCAATGAATGTATGATCAGATTTTGAAGATCAGCAGTTCCACACTCAAGAAGAGTCAGAAGAGAAACATAATTCGTCACTCACAGCTATGATATCGATTGATGAAACTCGTATGGGATTTTTCAGTGCTTGATTAGGACTGTAGCAGTCAAACACTTGACTCATAGTTGCCTTCGAAGTGAGCAGTGGCTCCTCAAAAAGTCGACATATCCCTGTCTGATACATTCCTCAAATGCCACAAGTGATACAATTGGAGAGCCGGGCGCCTGTATAATAAACCCAGAGCGATATTCGGTTGTGCAATACCCACAGAGATCCAAAGTTGTTTCACACGGGTCTGCACTGACACATCAAAACTCTGAGTCTTAAAATAGAAGTCTTTCCTAAGGTACATGAGAGGACTTGAATTGCATGAAATATAATTGGCCTGAATCAGAGCTGGGAGTAACGACAAAAAATAGTTACTTTACTTTAACGAGTTACTAAAAGTAACGCGTTACTTGGTAACTTCGTTACTTTTCAGATTGATTGATAAGTAACTGTAACGACGTTACTTTCCTGAAGTAACTGCAGATCGTTATTTTGTTAAAGTAACGAGTTACTATGAAAGTAGCGCGTTACTATGAAAATAACGCGTTTATATGGAAATAACGCGTTACTAGTTACTATGAAAGTATCGCGTTCTCTCAATTTGTTTATCTTCTTTACAAATAATTGACGATTGAGGAAAAGGAAAATAAGTACCTAATCCAAAAACTTTGTATGTCAAATACAATGTGGGTAGTACAGAAAATTTATTTTGAAAGCTCAAAATAATCGTTTTTGGGCGTGGCACGCACCGCCTCTGCTCTAAAGACACTATATGCAGACACTGGGACGCTTCAAAAAGCAGGTCTGTCCAAAACCAAGTTCTCTATTTAGTGGCTTAATCCTTAATCCGCAACAAAACTCTTCCACATAGTCGGACTCACAAACTAAAAACATATTGGCATTTCGTATAGGTCTTATTTGATTGTTCATGGACTGCTGTGTTGGTGAGTCAAATTAAGGAATAACGCAATTTTCGACGTAAATAGTTATTTTTGAAGTAACGCGTAACTTTAAAAGTAACGCTTAATTCAAAAGTAGCGCTTTATTTCAAACTAACGCGTTGAGGTAACGGATTATTTTCAAATAACGAGTTACTTTTGAGTAACGAACTATTTTTAATGTAAAGAAGTTACTTTCAAAGTAAAGAAGTTACAGTAACGCGTTACTTTCCAATAAGTAACGAAAATAAAGTTATCATTATTCGAAAGTAACTGGAAATTTTAAGTACTTAACGAGTTATTTTTAGGCAAAAGTAACTGTAAAGTAACGCGTTACTTTTTTCAAGTAACGATCCCAGCTCTGGCCTGAATACCATGAGCTGAAGATCATTGGCGAAAAAAGCAAAAATTGCGTTTGCGTGGCGTTTTATGAACTTTGGGCCACCATTGTGGCTAAAAGGTGGCCGGAACGTAGAAAGCGTGTGTCAATAAGTCATTGGTTGGTTGTATTGAAATCAGAGATAAATTGAAATAGAAAAGACTTTTGACACTTTTACACCAACAAGAAGGTAACCAAGTAAATACAAGGCGTCCCAGGAAAACAATCCACCTCGATTTATTGAATTTGGACTGAAAATCTGGGAAAAACACTCGTACACGTCGATTTTTGATTTGAGAGGGAAATATTTTTCAGTTTTTTTTCATCCCCGTAGCTTCAATCCCTAGCTAGGGGGAGAGCAACCTCCCAAATTTGAATAGCGGATAGGGGTCGTGTCGTACCTGTTTTCAAAGTTCTCATCGAGTTCTTCATGGTCCTAGAATTTCGTCTTATTATTTTCATCCGTAACAAAATGACAGCTTGGCAATATCTTGGATATAGACTATTGTTTTAGTGGAAGTAAAAGCGATACTTACCTCCCTTATTAAAAATACTTGAAATTAAAGTTTTTTTTATTATTATTTAGGTGTACACGTGAATTATAAATTGTGAGTATTTTTATTAAGGGAGGTAAGTACAGCTTTTACTTCCACTAAAACAATAGTCTATATCCAAGATTTTGACAAGCTGTCATTTTGTTACGGATGAAAATAATAAGACGAAATTCTAGGACCATGAGGAACTCGACTACTTAAACAATAGGGTCATAAAGAACTCGATGAGACCTTTAAAAAGAGGTATGACACGACCCCTATCCCCTATTCAAATTTGGGGGGTTGTTCTTCCCCATACACAATCAAAGCTCCACTTGTATTAAATATCCCTTAAGTGATAGTCGTGCAAATGGCCATTAGTGATTTAGTGAAACTATGTTCAACAATGAAAATTTAATTCCTGACAGCAAAATTCTTTCCTATGGACCCTATGGTCAATCTGCAAATTTGGAAGTACAACTAGGAAAACTAGCAGTTGTTCTATTTAACAGAAACAATAAATCAGACATAATTTGTATAAAGAGAAATTCTGAATCCTTGTTGAATTATCAAGCATCCAAAGATCTTAACGTTGCTTTATGTACCTACGAACTATGTCAAAAACCATCAGTCATTTTATCGAAAAACATACTAACCAAAGTTAACACAAGGAGACGGGAATCTGAATGATATTCAAATTGAATTATATACCTCATATCCTCATAGCTAATAAACATAGGAGTGTTTTCACGATTGGAACAATATGGTATAATTGAGCAAGCGAAAGAATTACCACTTTTTCAACACACATTGGCTTTTTTTGCTACAAAAGACTCAGTTTAAGAACCAATTTAGTTCGAGAGATTTAAAAAAAAAAAAAAACACCATTAGCAAAGTCCTACGAAATATTCAACATTTTACAGAAAGTGCTCGAAACTCTTCAGAACAACAATTTAACGATAAATAAAAATAAATGCATCTTCAGCGTGTCTCGGATCAGGACGATCAGGTTTTATGAATATGTATTTCTGATGAAGGCATACATCCTGATTCCAGCAGAATAAGAAGCATCGTAAACCTTAAAAGACCTCAGAGTGCAGCAAAAGTCCGTTCTTTTCTTGGAATGATAAGGATAAGTATGGTAATTTTTTTCCAAGATTGTCTGAAATTCTACAACATTAAACACAAAAAGATACAGTTTTCAATTGGACCAAACAACACAAATATAGTTTCGAATTATTGAAGCATCAGCAAAAATTAAGCTTATTTTGATATTAACAAAATGACATATTTATGTAGATGGAGGTCCTACTGGAATTGGAGCAATATGTACTGGTACTAAGCTCAAGAGGTATTTCCGAAATTACGCATTTCCGGACACATGTTTAAGAGAACTTTTTTCTTAAAATATTGTGAGGAAGCACATCCTGATGTTACGAACCGTACTTAGGAAACACCCTGTATATTTTTCTATTTTGTGACCACCCAGTACATGCTGTTTCAAGTTTCAATAGTTTAATATTATTTTTTCAAGAAACGAAAACTTTTATGAAGAATAACTTTTTTTCTTAAAATCTATATACCTATATGAAAATCAATGTTTGTTTGTTTGCTTGCTTGCTTGCTGGGTTTCCGCCTTATGCGCTCCTACACCACTTATCCGATTACGATGAAACTTTGCAAGGTTGTTAGGGCCATCCCATGGATAGGTTTTCCATCTCGGAAAAAGAAATTAATTTTGAATTAATTATTAATTTAATTGTAAACAAACTCATTCAATTACATAACCCAACTTTTTTTTGACAGCATGAAACAACGTTGCGACATTTCATTTATTTAGGCTTGCCATTCAACCGACGTAACTTTATTATTTTTTGAATTCGAGAACGGCTGGACCGATCTTGAATTTAATACCACGTATCTCTATATAAGCCGAATTCGATTGACCTAGATTAGATCGATTTGGGTTTAATTCTTCTGATCTAGATAATTTTTTT